ATGCTCAGAGATACAGGGCCATGCATCCACTCAGGAATGAATTCCCTAAAAAACATAGGTTCATTAGAAGAGTGAAGCACATTCCATAAAGAGGGGATAGCACTGCAGAGGTGCCATGATGAGAGGGACTAAGAGAAGGCCAGGAGGCAGGAGGAGAGCAAACCAAGGACTAGAAGCTGCCAGATCAACTATGACAGGCTGAACAGGCAGAAGCCAGTGGGCCAAGGACCCAGGGGAAGCCACTAAACTAGCTTAGAAGACAAGCATTTCATAGAGGTCTGTAGCCATCGTATAGAGGACAAAGTCTAGATGAGATGGTGGATGGAATGAGAATAGGAACTATGGCCATAGGGAGTCAGGGAAGGATAGGGTAGTAAACATGTCAAATACAAAGTAACCTATGGGAGCCAGGGAAACTGGAAAGAACTTAGATTTTTAGTTGAAAATGGAGTAGACAAGGACAGCAAAGAGGACTATTGGAAAGGGAACTGTTGACTCATAAGACTTGATTAAGGGTCTTCAACCATTCAATCTCTGTTAAGGCAGCAGGTATTTCTCCTTGAGTTAATCATCTGTGTAAAGATTCTTGCCATGCTGCTTTGATACACTCCTCTGTCACTTCTGAAACTTCCCTTTAAATTGGGCTCATGAAGGAGCAGAAATGAATTTATTGGCCCTGCCTAAACTAATAGTTCACCCACCAAATCACTTGTTCTGTAAAACCTGGAACAGAGGGTGATGATAAGAGTGACTTTTCTACAAGGCCAAAGCCAAAAGCTGACTTGTCAACATACAATAATGCTGCTTGCTTTGTGCCAGGACAAAATCAAAGGGAAGCCCCAGAATTAAAAAAGGCATTGCAGTTGTAAATGGGAAGTGTGTTTCATCTATACTTGCCTTTGTGGTTTTGACTTTATTCCCACTGCTACAGGACCAACCTGAGTAATCGGGCAACACTTTGCAATCCTCTCCTTCCAAGCACGGGTTCATGTGGCACCACCATTTCTGAATCACAATGGAAGCTGGAAGACAGAGGCCATATGGACAAAATAAAATTAAACACAAATTAGTGAATGGACTTAAAGACAGTTAATGAGAATTACTTCACCATGGTAAGTAATTTTAAAGAATCCAATCATCCAAATACTCTACAAAGTCAAATATTTCCTTTTTCACAGTTGGCTCTCTGTGATACAGCTGGTGAGCAAAGGTTTTGTGGTAGGCCTGCCTGAGTTTGCATGTGGCTGTTTTACTTTCTAGATTTTTTTAATGACCTTGGACTAGTTCTCCAACTTCTCTTCACCTTAGTTTCTTCACTTAAGAAATGGGGATAAAAATATATTTTTGCCCCAGATTACAAAAGGAGAAAATGAATCCATGTAAGGAACTCTGCAAACTTTGGGCAAGTCATTATGTTCTCGGGGAAGGTTAGAGATTTGATCATAGACATTTTAAGTTTCATGGTCCAGTGGTAGGTGTTGATCCTGCAACGGTGTCATGGTGGATGCTCTTTGTTAATTAACAGCAAAGAGAGAGTGCAGTAAAATTTCACCCCTAACGGGTGCTCCCCTCTTCAGGCCATTCCAGTTAGTGGATCCTAACTAAAATGAGAGGGCCTGGCTTTTCCTCACCTAGTTAGCTGAGTGAATAGTTTAGACTAGTTAGCTCACTTGTGTACTCATTTTTACCTCGCCATTCCCAGAGTAGTCTCCCCATAAAATAATTCGTGTTTTAAGCTTATAAAGCAGAAAATAGCACCCCAGCTCTCTGGGACAGAAGTAGACAAAACGTCATCATCTTAGCTAGTTAATCCCACAGATTCACAGGGCAAAAAGAAAAAAAACGATTGTGATTAAGCTTTTAAGGTGAACACAATTATTAGGGTCAAGGTAAGGCAAATAGAATTGGCCCCTTTTTTCTTGTTGAAATACAAGACTCACATAGAAAACATATCCCAGTGGATATTTTGGCTGTTCCTTTGGATAGAAAGAATTATAGCAGTGATGGCGAACCTTTTAGAGACGACTACCCAAACTGCAATCCAAAACCCATTTATTTATTGCAGGGTCCCAACACTGTAATTAACCCTGAATATCGAGGTTTTAGTTTAGAAAAAAACAACTCATACACTCACATCTTTTGTCTTAAAAGAAAAACCAACATCCAGGCCACCATAGGTTTGCCACTACTGAATTATAGTTCTTTTCTTTTCTTTTATTTTATTTTTTAGGTTTTTTATTTTAAAATATTGACATGTAAAGAGTGTATAATCAAGGTATATAACATTATTTGATATGCATAAACATTGTGTAATGAGTACCAAAAATTCAACCATCATCATTCATGCTGTATATTAGAGCCTCAGAACTTACGATTTCTACTGAGCATTTATACCCTTTGACCAATACCTTTCCATCCCCTTCCAGGCCTGGAAACCATAATTCTACTTTTTTAGATTCCATGCATATATATGATGATACAGTATTTATATTTCTGTGCCTGGCTAATTCTACTTAGTATAACGTCCTCCAGGTTCATCTATGCTGAAAAAAGATGGCAGAATTACTTTTTTATAATGAATAATATTCCATTATGTATATAAACTACATTTTCTTTATTCATCCCATCAACAGACACTGAGATTATTTCTAATTCTTAGTTCCTGTGAATAATGTTGTAATGGAAGTAAGTGTGCAGATATCTCTAAAAGATACTGATTTCAGGCCTCAATGGTAGAGTAACTGCTGAGCATGCATGAGGCCTTGGGTTTGATCTCCAGTACCACACATATACAAAAAGGAGATATTGATTTCATATCCTTTAGACATATACCTAAAAGTGGGGTTGCTGGATCATATGCTTTTCTCTTTAATTTTCTGAGGAACTTGTATACTATTTTCTATGGCGGCTGTATAAATTTCTACACCTACCAGCAATATGTGTTCCCTCACCAATACTTGTTTTTCTTGTCTTTGATACAAGCCATTCTAATAAGTATTAGGTAATATTTCATCATGGTTTCTATTTGCATTTCCATGGTTAGTGATGTTCAGCAATTTCATATACCTGCTGGACATTTGTATATCTTCTTTGGGAAAATGTCTATTAGGGCTTTTTGTCTAATTTTAATTGTGTTTTGTTTTGGGTTAGTGTTTTAGTTGCTTATATGTTTTGGACATGAACTTCTTACAGAAATATGAAGTGCAAATAATGCCTCCCATTCTACAGGCTGCTTTTTCTCTTTGTTGATCATTTCCTTTACTGTGCAGACACTTTTCAATTTGATGTCCTTCCACTTACATATTTTTGCCTTTGTTTTAATGTGCTTTAGGTGTTCTACCCAAACAAATGATTGCCAACACCACCATCCAGGAGGTTTTTCCTTATATTTTCTTCTAATGGTTTTATAATTACAGGTTTCAAAATTATGTCTTTAACTAATTTTGAGTGAATTTTTGTGGGTTTTTTTGAGCTAAGAGATATCTTTATTAGTAGAGTCATAAAGTGGCTTGAACTAAGTTAAACACATAAAAAACAACAGTATTCTTATAGCAATACCCAGAGAAATAGTAAAATTTTTTAAAAGAAGCTATTCAAATTGCAACAAATTCAAACTGCCTACAAACTCAATGAGAAACATATTAAATATTTTTCAATCTTCATGTAAGGATATAATTTTAATAAGAAGAGTTATACTTTTATTAAATGAAAATTCAACATAAATGTGGAAAGTCTCAAACTTATTAAAATAATTCCAAAGATCCAATACAGCTTTCCTTGGAAGTCATTAGACTCACCACTGACTAATCACTAAGCATGGTGCTCATCATCAAAAATATATATATATTTTTTTTTTCTTAGGGATCAGTCCTATCAGATATCAGAGCCTATTGTTAAAACTGAAACTGTGAGCATGATATAAATATAAAAAATATAAACAAAAGGGAAACAATCAAATGTCTAGACTCTGTTATGCACGTGTCACATTTTACAAAAAAAAGAATGGAGATGATAATATTAATTATTTTATAGCACGGTTCTGAAGCAAAAAGGTAATGCAGGTAAAAGTTTTATAAACTATAAAGCCATCTGTAAAATGTGTATGTTATTTTTTAAAAGATCCAATCTTATTCTTTTGCATTTGGCTATGTAGTTTTTACATCACCTTTTATGGAAGATACTATTTTTCCCCACTATATATCCTTGGTCCCTTTATCAAAGATTAGTTCACTATATATGTGTTTATTTCTGGGCTCTCTCTTGTGTTCTACTGGGATAAGTGTGATCTTACGCCAGTACCACACTATTTTGATTATTATAGATTTGTAATATAGTTTGGTCAGGCAGTATGCTATCTCTAGCTTTATCTCATAATTGCTTTTAGTGTTTGGGTACTTTTGTGGTTCTGTAAAAATTTTAGGATTTCTTTTCCATGTGTCACTAAAAATGCTACTGCATTTTGATAAAGATTGCCTAAATTCACTTTATAGATCACTTTGGACCTTTTGACATTAGTTCTTTGATCCATGAACACAGGTGTCTTGGCATTTGT